TGTTATCTCTGACTCCAGCATCGGCAGTTCTTACTATCTCTGTTGCTGCAGAGGTCCTTTAAGCAATGACCTGGGCTTAAGCATTTTCATCCATTTCATCAGTTACCATCACAAGGTCACGAGTGGGAGTGTTTGCTGATTTGCTCAATGAAAGTTCAGTCCCATTTACAACTCCTCAGGTACTGAAGGAGGCTGTGTGCAAAAAGGCAGGGCCTAGGCAGTGTTGAAGCATGGACTGGAAATGGGGAAAGTACGTTCTCGCTATACAAGTGCCTGATCATCACCGTAAGAAAAGTCTCGCCTGACTTCTCTCATGTTTAATAAATACATTTTATGAGTGAGGGGTGGAGGACAGTGCAATAACGACAGAGTCACACAATACAGTAGAAACCCTTCAGCCCATTGAATCTGCACCAATTAAAAAACTACTTGTAAATCTACACCAGTTGAACCGTAGCCTTGAATGTTATAACATTTCAAGTGCTCATCCAAGTACTTTTTAAAGATTGGGATGTTTCGTGCCTCAACTACCCTCCTAGGCAGTGCTTTCCAGACCCTCACCACTCTCTGGATAAAAAAATGTTTCATCAAATCCCCTCTATAGCTCCTGCCTTTCACTTTAAAAGTATATCCCCTTGTTATTAACCCTGCAACTAAAGGGAAGAGCTCCTTTCTAGTCACCCTGTCCATGCCCCTTATATTCTTATACATCTCTACCAGGTCCCCACTCAACCTTCTCTGCTCCAAAGAAAACAACCCGAGCTTATCCAGCTTCTCTTCATCACTGAAATTCTCCATCCCAGGCAACATCCTGGTGAGAATCCTCTGCAGCCCCTCCAGTGCAAACACATCCTTCCTATAGTGCAGAGACCAGAACTGCATACAGTGCTCCAGCTGTGGCATACCAAAGTCCCGTATAACTCCACGTAACCTCCCTGCTTTTATAATCTACGCCACAACTGAAAAAGGCAAACATCCTAAATTTTTTCTTATCTACCCTATTAACCTGCCCTGCCACCTTCAGAGATCTGTGGACAAGCACCCCAAGATCCTTCTGTTCCTCTGAGCTTCCTCGTGTCCTGCCATTCATTGAATACTCCCTTGTCTTGTTACTTCTTCCAAAGCGGATCACCTCACACTTATCAGGATTAAACTATCTACCACTGATCTGACCAATCCATTTATATCCTCCTATAACCTAACACCTTTAACCACCTGGCTAATCTTTGGTTAATCTGCAAATTTACTTATCATGCCATCATCCACATTCTCATCTCCATCATTTAAACATGTCGCAAACAACAAGGGACCCAGCACTGATCCCTGTGGTATGTCACTGCACACCAGGCTCCAATCACACAAACAGCCTTCTACCACCACCCTCTGGCTCCTGTAACTAAGCCAATTTTGGATCCAACTACCAAATTGCCATGGATCACCTGAGCTTTTAATTTATTTATCAGTTTCCTATGTGGGACTTTGACAAAGGCCATGTTGAAATCTATATAAACTTTATCAACTGCCCTACCCTCATCTATACACTGGGTCACATCCTCAAAAAATTGAGTCAAATTCATTAGGCAACACTTCCCTCTGACAAAACCATGCTGATTATTCCTGATCAAACCTTGCCTCACTAAATGGAGATGAATTTTCTCATTCAAAATTTTCTCCAATAGTTTCCCTCCCACTAATGTGAGACTCACAGGTCTATAGTTTTCTGGTTTATCTTTACCACACTTCTTTTGAAGTGGAACCACATTAGCTGTCCTCCAATCCTCTGGCACTTCACCTGTGGCCAGCGAGGAATTGAAAATTTTCGTCAGGGCCCCTGTCATTGCCTCCCTTGTCTTCCACAGCAGCCTGGGGTACAACCCATAAATATCTCCAATACCTCCTCACTTCTTATATCAATCTGCACAAAAGTCTATCTTCTTGAATTCATTTCTCCCGAGTGAAGACAGATGTGAAGTATTTGTTTAACATTCTACCAATGGCCTCTGGCTTCACACACAGATTGCTGCTTTGTTCCCTAATGTGCCGTACTCTTTCCATGGTTATTCTGTTCCCCTTGATGTACCTGTACAATATCTTGCGATTTTCCCAAATCGTGCCCTGATCTTAAATCAATTCATGCCGAGTTTCGAAAAAAGGAATAAGGTACATACCAATAAGGCAGCACATATTGGACCATGAATGATGTACAGGAGATGAGTGCCTGAACTGATCCAGCAACTAGAGAAAATGGAAGAGCAGATTCAGTTGGTGAAACTAGCCCGATCAATTCCCAACATTTTTTTATCCATCAGTGATGGATGATACACGCAGGGCTGTTGCATTATTGAACTGATCCCAGGAAATAGCATCCTCTACCTTGTAGAAACTATTGTCCCCAGTTTATTTACTGAGATGTGATTGGCTCTTGGAGGTCTTGTTTCACAGTGGATTGTGTCCTTGTCTCTGAGCCAGAGGTCCCTAGTTGCCCTGGGGAAGGTGGCAGTAAACTGCCTTCTTGAACTGTTGCAATCTGTGCTCAAACATTCATTCATGTTGTTGTTGAAATAGCTCACAGATTGTTGGAAGAATGTGTTAACCATCAGACAGTGAACTGGAGAAGAGTCATACTGGACTCAAAACATTAACTCTGTTTCCTTCTCCACAAATGCTGCCAGACCTGGCAGATCAGCAATTTGTATGTTTGTTTCAGATTTGCAGCATCTACAGTATTTTGTTTTTATCAAATTAGTGAATTTACTTTATCAAGAATAGTGACAGCAGCAACTGACCGCAGCACACAGCATTCACCCCATGTGATTTTTACTGGAAAAGCTGGGTGCTCAAAGTGAGCCATATAAAAGCCCAGCACTTGATTCTAAAGGACAAGTTGAGAGATGGTGGTGAAATAGCAATATTACTGGACTTGTAATCCAGACATCCAGGCCATTGGCCTGGGGAAATGAGTTCAATTCCCACCACAGCACCTGGTGGAAATTAAATTCAATTAATAAACCATCATGATTTTTTAACATCCATCCGGTTCCCTAATGTCCTGCTGTCCTTACTTGGTCTGACCTCTACCTAAGTCCAAATCCACTGCAATGAAATTGACTGTTAACCGCCCTCTGAAATGGCCTAGGGAGAGGCAACAAGTGCTGGGACGTTGCCCACATCTCATGAAAGAATAAAGCAAAAGAAGAGGTTTTTAATATCAAACAACGTGGAGAGGATTCTGCCACTTTCCTTGAATCATGAGACTGGGGAGAAAGTCTCTCCTGTTGCAAAAACAGGGTCACCATCTTTTAGATCTCCAAATCCCATGGGGCCATTAAGAGGTACTTGGGCTTAGGACTGGTCTATTCATTGAGACTAGTGGAATTATAGGGAAGGGGGTGGTGGGATCATTCCCAAGAGAGTTTGTAAATGGATTGAAATGGAAGTGTTGGAAAGTCTGGGAGATTGATAACAAGGCAGCCAATGGAATAGGCTAAGCCACTATATCCAGGGCCTACTCCAGCCATTCTCCAGCTTCAGTCTGGCAGACATCAGAGTAACTGAACTAACCTCGATCCTGGTTCAGCAATGGAAGCTAGTTATGAGGAGAATCCCCAAGCCCACTGCACTTGCACTGACAAAGAGTTGTGTCCACTGAAATCCTGACCAATTGAGTTAAATCCTGCTCTGTGTCACACAGAGCTCCATTCTGCATTCCTTAAAGATACGGGCACAGAGCTCTCTTCATCTTGCAGTTCCCTGTTCATCTCAATGATTTCATCAACCTGCTTTCACTATGTTCCCACTTGTCCGTCAACTCTCCAACCAACTTTGCCTCTTTCCCTATCCCAATTTTTCACTGCTCTGATCACCCATTTTTGTGGTGGGGTGTGGGGTAGGGAGGGGTGTTCTTGGCTAGATTCCAACTCGTGTTTTGTGGAATTATATAGTGGATATTCAGTCATTTTCCTTGGCCTGTGCTGTCTCACAGTAACAAAGCCTAGCTCCTATGCAGAGCCCAAGGCAAGCAGGTATAAATTTTCTTACTTGTCGTTGAAATATTTGCTTCTGGCAGCTGCGTGTATAATGGCTGGAATCAATGGGAACCCTGAAAAAACAGAGAGACAGCATCAATTCCTTCAGAGATTCAATGATACAGTAGTGGTGGGTCACATGGCACAATATTCCTCTGCCTATTTAAAGGACCTGGACAGCACTGAAGTTCCAGGTGTGGTCAGGAGGTTTCTATAAAGAGGGCTGATGGACAGGAGCCACAAGGTGTGAAGAACTGCAATGACTGGCATCCATTTTACAGATGCTTTGCTTGTATTGTAGGAGAAAGGCTCAAGGGGAAGTTCCTCTTCATCACCAGCTGCTGCCAAGGAGGAGGCCTGATGGAGGTGGCAGAAGAAATGAGTAGCAGGAGTGGGACTGAGATCCTGAATATTGTCCAGGAAATGATCAGAATGTCATGACTATAGATCAAGGATGGCTCTTGGCAGCCAAGTTCTGCAGTGGGACCCTTCCCGCTCTGTTGCTTCAGTCTTCCTACCCTCCCCCACATCATGTTCACCAGCATCAATCAAATCAGTCTAGTTTTTTCCAAATGCACAATTCCCTCTTTCTCCTTCTCTACTGCCAGAAGTCTCACTCGTCCATTTGTCCTATCAGATCTCATTCAATTCCCCTCACTCTCCCTCCATATCCTGAGATGGCTGTGTCCTAATTTCTCACAGGCATGCCACTCATATTCTGTATGCCTGTGTCACACCTATCTCATACTTTCCCCATATCCATATGCAGCAACTCCATCGGGCGCCCCCCACCCCCCACCCCCCCAGCACTCAACTATTGTCCCTTAAGAGAACCTGGAGTGCTAAGTGCCAGGGAGGTGGTACAGCCTATAGGAGGGCTGGAGGGACTGAATAACATTTCTCCAGTACAGGAAGAAGATCTGAACACCAGTATGCCCTCAAGCACCTTGTGTATTACTGACGGGGAAACTGTAATCTTTCAGACTTGCGTCTTGAGCCTCAGAGCATCACAACTCCGATCATATCTTTACTGTATCTTATCAACATCTCAAAAACTCCATCACCTGCTATTGTCTTTTCCTTTGCTTTTCCAGGGCAACTACCTGAAGATTGGGAGCCGCTCCCCAGGAGAGGACAAAGACTCCTCAGGGGAGTGGACACCTCTATCACAAGATACAGTGTTGTGGGCAATAGCGCAAATGCCAGCCCACTTGGGTTGGCCCTCTTCGTTGGGTAGTTGGGAATGCACTTGGCAATTCTCACGGTGAGTGGTAAGCAAGGGACGAGCAGAGTGGCAGAGACAGCTGCTGCAATGAGGAGCCACATGGTCCTGTGCTCCCAGGCTCTGCTGATCAGGGCAGAAAGGCAGACTCACTGGGACCAGTTGTGAAAAGGTTGGGAGAGCAGCGGCAGCTGGCCTCTCCATCTGCAGTAGAAAGAGAAGACGTGGATTTCAACTCAAAGATATGTAGCCTGATGGTGGGAATGGTAACGGCAGCCACAAACATTCATACCATAGAGTTATACAGCATGGAAACAGAACCTTCAGTCCAACCCGTCCATGCCGATCAGATATCCTAAATTAATCTAGTCCGATTTGCCAGCATTTGGCCCATATTCCTCCAAACCTTTCCTATATAGAAGGCATGGTTAATAAGTTTGTGGGTGACACCAAAATTGTTGGTATTGTAGACAGTGAAGAAGGTTTTCTCAGATTACAAAGGGATCTTGATCAAATGGGTCAATGGGCTGAAAAATTGGCAGATGGAGTTCAACCTGGATAAATGCAAGGTATTGCATTTTGGTACATCAAACAAGGGTAGGTCTTATACAAATAATGATAAGGCCTTGGGTAATGTTGTAGAACAGAGGGACCTAGAGGTTCAGGTACATAATCCTTTGAAGTTTGCATCACATATAGACACGGTGGTAAAAAGACGTTTAGTTCACTTGCCTTCATTGCTCAGTCCTTTGATTATGGAAGTTGGGAAGTCATGTTGAGGTTGTACAGGACATTGGTGAGGCCTTTTCTAGAATACTGTGTCCAGGTCTGGTTGCCGAGTTATAGGAAGGATATTGTTAAACTGGAGAGGGCTCAGAAGAGATTTACCAGGATATTGCCGGGTATGGAAGTTTTGAGTTATAAAGAAAGGCTGGATGGGCTGGGACTTCTTTCACTGGAATGTAAGAAGTTGAGAGGCGACCTTATAGAAGTTTATAAAATAATGAGGGGTATAGATAGGGTTAATGATAGTTGTCTTTTCCCTAGGATGGGGGATTTCAAGACTGGAGGCACATTTTTAAGGTGAGAGGAGAAAGATTCAAAAAAGACAAGGGGAAAATTTTTCCACAGAGGATGGTTTGCGTATGTAATGAACTTCCTGAGGAAGTGGTGGATTTGGGTAAAATTACAACGTTTAAAAGACATTTGTATAAGTACACGTATAGGAAAGATTGGAGGGATATGGGCCAGGATCAGGCAGGTGAGACTAGTTTAGTTTGGGATTATGTTCAGCATGGACTGGTTGGACCAAAGGCTCTCTTTCCGTGCTGGATGACTCTATGACACTATTCATATACCCATTTAGATGCCTTTTAAATGTTGTAACTGTACCAGCCTCCACCACTACCTCTGGCAGCTTATTCCATACACACACCACCCTCTTGTGTGAAAAAGTTGCCCCTCAGGTCCCTTTTATATCTTTCCTCTTGCACCTTAAAAATATGCCCTCTAGTTACCCTCGGGACTCCCTTACCCTCGGGAAAAGACCTTTACTATTTGCCTTATTTACGCTCCTCATGATTTTATAAACCTCTATAAGATCGCCTCTCAGCTTCCTACGCTGCAGTGAAAAACAGTTCCAGCCTATCCAGCCTCTCCCTATAACTTCAAGCCAGACACATAAATTCGGGAGTGTCTCTGATTTGCTCCACTCTGCACCCCCGCAAATGGTAGGACTGATATCTCACACCCCCATGGGAGGAAGGATGACCGAACAGAGCTTTCTCAGAATATCTGCATGTCTCATTGCCATTTCTTCGAGTAATAACCAATATGGAAGCTGCATACTGCAGCTGCCCTACACTGCCACACTGCCAGTGACCCAGACCTCACAGTCTCTAAAGCTCAGTTGGTCTTCAGCGAAGAACTCCTCTTGATGATGAAGAATCCAGACTAGACTGCCATGGATTCTGCAGAAGCTTCCTTGGAGAAGAGAAGGTTGAGAGACGTTAATAGATTGATAGAGGTGTTCAGGAAAAGAAACAGCTCTCTTTACAGTCTTCCTGGCTCAACACTAAGTTCAATAATTTGTCTCCAATCTCTAGCCCCATTCTGTTTGCTTTCATACCATTTGTCTTCTTTACTGCCTGCTGTACCTGCAAGCTGACCTTCAGCGACTGGTGTACAAGGACACCCAGGTCCCAATGCACACTCCCCTCTACCAATCTACAGTTCCAATCAGGGAACTCAGATTCTATGAGGTCCAGCTGGCTGACCTTGTTACAATCACTACAATTGCCCCTAATCCCTCTATATTCCAAAAAATACTGGCTAATCTACTCCACCTCTCCTCATGAGACAGCCTCTAGTGAACCTCTCTGGACTGCCTCCAATGCAAGTACATTTTTCCTTAGATAAGGGGCTCAAAACTGTGCAAGCAATGAATTGATTTGGCTGTCTACCTCCATATCATAACAAACGAGCTACCTAATTAACTGACTGTGGCTGCCTCTCGAAACTGAAATTGTTTAGCCTGGCTAAGAATGAAAAATCTTCACTTTAAGAATAAATGTAGGCTAAATGCAAACTAGACCAGGTTTCAGAAGAGATTAACCTTTAAAATTAGCTATTATTATTCCGTGACTCACCAAATTCCCAAGCTAACACAATGCCTAGTTCAAGACAACAAGGTGCAGGGCTGGATGAACACAGCAGGCCAAGCAGCATCATAGGAGCAGAGAGGCTGACGTTTCGGGCCTCGACCCTTCATCAGAAAAGGGG